TTAAATTTTGGATTCTTAGAAGAAAGCAAAACCATGCTGTGATGTGTTAATATTATAGTGTTTTAGTTGTTCATAAACAATAAAAGTTGCCTTAGCTAAAAGAAAAATGAGAAAAGGACGGTGTCCCGATCTGCTATAGCTAGTGTTATAACACTGAACGTGAAAAAAAAAAAATGTGAAAACAACCGTTGAAGGACGTCAAGACTGATATAAAGTTATCAAAAGGAACAAGAGAGTTTTAATTTAATGCATGCACGAGGGCTAGCGGGCCACGTTCATTGATCTAATTCCTTTTTCAAAGTGTATACAGAAGCCAAAGGCATCCACATTCGCAGTAATGTATATGACTTGAAACAACAAAACTCTATGATATGATTTAATAATGAAAGGGTGGTTTTAAATGTTTTAAAGATGTTAAAAGATTTAAAAAAAAAAAATAAAAAAAAAAATTGAATATCCAAGGAATCCCCCATTAACTGGACCACAAACAAAATGTATATAGGTCTATTTAATTTTTTTTTTTTTCCATTTATCTATAGATTGGTGGCACACATACAAACTGACGTGGCTCTACTCTTTAATTGACATATCATTTATTTAATTTATTAAGTATTTAGTGAGGTGACTTTAAATATACATTCATTCATACATTTTGTAACACGTGAGTTTGTATTAATTAATTTATATATCTAGTATTATTCTTATTTATATATTGATGTGATTAATAGTTATTAAATTTAATATTTATATGACAAGAATGTGAATTCGTTTGTGCTACACTGATATACTATTATTAGGCACCATAAACTTCGTCTTATAGAGATACAATTTTTTTTTTTTTTTTTAATATCAATACAAAAATTGTTGACATTATTTTTTTTATAATGATTTTAAGATATGTTTTTAAAACACTATTCTTTCATATATTAATTGAGAGGTTTATTTCTCGGATTATGCAACTTGCGGTAGATTACCAGCATCTTGCCATATATGCTATACTGGTAACCTACCCCAACATCAGTTGGGAAATCGACAAAGCAAAACAATTTATTATACTCAAGTGGAAAATTTGCTTCTGCTTTAGAAATCTTGACCCATCACCACCGTCGTTCACCATAATTCAACCACAAAATTAAAAGCTTTTCTAGTGGAACATCACGCACGTATAAAGAAAGAAAAGAAAAGAAAATATAAACAAAAAGATAACCATCCGTTCCTGCCTCTTGGAGCTACCTCAATTATCCCAACACGAACAGCCCACTCCTCCTGCCACTGCACCTTTATGACCCTAAATCGCAGGCCAAGGGCAACCCAACTTATCATGTTCCCTTGTAAATTTTATCTATTACCAATTACAACCCAAGCATTATCTCCACTCCAAAACTTCAATCATTATTTTTCTTTGACAAATTTGATCAGACCATTAGTACTTGTTCATTGCAATTTGTTGCACCATCTGTCGGTCTTACGTTGCACGACGACTGGGAAGTGATTAGATTGCCATTGCGTTTCTGGTGCTCCACTTGCGAACACATTTCTCATCAACTATATATCTCGACGTTGCTGGATCACAATTCTTATTTTATGATGCCAAAACAACATTTTGGGTCATTTCATGAATAAAGCAGCTGTACGCCACTGTTGCACTTAATTGGATTATTTGAAACAAAGAAAAGTATTAAAGTTTGTATTAGTTGTGGAGCCCTTGGCCGATTTTCGTGTGGTTTTGCAGATTAAAACGTAGATTACAAATAAAATTGTGGCCTTCGAATTTTGCCTCGCCATTTTCAAGGCCCCCAGTAAAGGTGAGAAGTTATGCTGGCTATAGAAAACCCGTGCTTTGCAAAGCATTAAGAAAATTAAATGACGAAGAAATTTACACCGTGCGTGAAAGCTATTTCAATGGTATGTACCCTGTGAATTACTTGCATCTTTCTAAAATATGGCAAGTCGCGAATCTTCTTTAAATTATGGCTATAAAACACACATGAAAAAGAAACATTATTTTATATAAATCTACATAAAAATATAATATTGCTTAGAAAATATGTTGTGGGAGATGCATGTGGGTTAGTCGAGATATTTGCTACGGCACCTAGTGCAATGAAAAAGTACTGAATTATTTTCATAGGAAATTATGGCAGATGATGGACATAAATTTTTATATAACTTCAAATTAAGAATTAATGATGGCTGCTGAGACCTTTTTCTTTCTTCAAAAGTAAACCATAGATTTTATGCGCGCATGAAGAGGAGGATATCGAAATGTCAACCCAGTCAATCATTCATAGCCGAAGATCGAAACGATGTAGCAAACAGACGTGCCTTGCAAGTCTTGTCGCTTCCACCTTTTGTAAGACCAGATAGATACAAATGTTGCAGCTGCAATTTTCGTCGGCAAGGCATTGCAACTTCTGGAAATTCTTCTGGTAATGGAGACATTATGTATTATACAAACTATATAATACATAATGTATGAAGTTATGAAAATAAAAATATTAATTTATTATATTAAACAAGAAGTCATGTCATTAATTGGGTAATATTACGCTAACAAACATTTCTCACTAATTTTCTTTTACAAACGCGACGTATCAATTTATAATTAATCAATTCGTAATGAGTTTAATCTATATAAAAATAGATCATGATTATCTAACAATGGATCCTACCTACCTAATAATAGACCTTGTTTAATCAATTTTAATGAAAATGGTTTATCAACCTATTTTTATTGGGCATTAATTATTGAACTAGAGTATGTGTAGATTTTATCCTCTTGTAACACAAAATCATATGACATGCAAAAACATGACACGTGTACGATTGATTTTTAAGTAGGCTTTGGCAGACAAGACAATTACCATTTGTATAAATGTTTAACTTTGTGGCGAATGGTCAGGCTTTGTGAATCTGATTGATTCTCACCACTCACCAGACAAAACTAAGAGAAAATGCTTCAAGTGCGTCATCGATCTTTTCTGAAATGTTAAAGTCAATAAAGAATTTAAAGTTCTAAAAGGATGGTTCCATTAAGCATATAGCCAGAGTTTCGCATATCTACAACTCTGAATATATCATAAGGAACAGAAAAATATAAGATCGGGATAAAAGGGTAAATATTTATGGATATAATTAGTGATCTGTGTTGGAATATTCAAGTCCATGCTTAATGCTAATGGAATAACATGAGAACGAGCTTCTAATCTAAAAATTTATCTAATTATCTTAGTGTTATCTGGGGAATTTTCAAAGCTGAAATTAATTCCCTTTCCCATCACAATCGCATAAGTTTCTAAATTCATTTCACAATCACATCTATATATAATACATTAGCTAGGAAGATAAAAGAATGGCCTTTTTATGTCATCGGCTAATATATTCCTCTTTCTGCATCTACGTTATGACGTAATAAACTGATAAGGCATAAAAAATCTTCATCATAAAAGCCTTCAGTAGGTCATATAACTTATCCCATAAGGAACTAATTTTATCTCCGTTTAGTTTTGATAATGAAATTTAACTTTTATATTTGTAGTTATTACAAATTAAGGAAGAAAAAGAAGATGACCTTTTCATTCGAAAATTTCCAAGTAAAGCAAGAATTACAAATATGGGTGCTGGTTGGCAGTATATAAATAATTAATACAGACTTTTGTACTAACTCGTCTGCAAGAAATTAAAGTGAATTTCAATTTATTGGATTCAATAAATTAAAGAATTCCCACTAGTATACACAGGACAAAGAATTCTTGAAAATTACTTTACTCTTTAAAATCAAAGTCAAATCCACATTAACTAATTTGCTGATGCATGAGAGAAATGCACATTTATAAAATATCAGCATATACAGAAAGAAACAAAGAAAAGAAAAATGGAATACTGATAACTTTTCCATTCCGGCCAACTTTAAAAAAGTATGAGAACTAATATTGTACATTACCTTTTGATAATGGATACTTAACAGAAATTCCCCTTTTTTTTATTTTTTTAATTTTTTAATTTTTATTTTTTTATGACCGAGGTGTCTAGATCAGCTTATATGCACCTCAACTAATCCATCAAGATCTTGAAACTATCAATTAGGTATAAGTTCTAATGACCATTAGCAACCATGAAGACTTGAATTTGAGAGACTATATTAGATTCTCCTTTTGTTTTTGTACCTTTAAGGAGATTTGAACTTGAGAGACTATATTAGGTCATTTTTTTGGAAGACTATATTAGATCTTCCTTTTGCTCTTTTATCATAAATGAGACTTGAATTTATGAGACCATTTTAGATTATCATTTGCTCTTTTACTATCAGAACACCCAATAGTGGTTATTTAACAGAATCCCAATGAACTTGCTAAGAAGAACTAGAAAATGTTTTTTAATAAATGATTATTATGGTTAGGGTCACTAATTAACACGTTTAATCGATGTATTTTTAAGGTAGCTAGCATGCAGATGATAGTTAATTAATTAATTATTTTTAAGCTATGATTATAGAATCATAAGTAGATTGAGTGATATGATTATAAACTTTAGTTGAAGCACTGGTGTAGTTGGCATAACAGTACCGAAGAATTGATGCGTCGGAGTGCCGCGTCGTGGAGGCGGAGGATGGGGGTCCCACAGTGGCGATGATGGGCCACCACCTCCACCACCATCACCATGTTAATTAGGGCCAGCCTCTATGGCATCAGCATGCACCAAAGTCGCCTTTGTTTTGGCACCTCTCACATCGATTGCCACTAAGGTAAAAGGAAGTGGATCCCACCTCATGTAAAGCCTCTCCCATTTGCTGACACGTCGAACCCACTCCATTGCTACATCAATTAATCAGAATATTCAAATAGATCCAGGGTTTAGTGCAACACTCACGTGTGATAGGCTGAGATTCATTTTTTCACACGCTCGAAAATCCATATATGAAAATTACTATTATGGATAGAGAGGCCGAAACTGCCTATAAATATGTGACCTCGTTTCTACTTTAACTTAGGAGACACAAGCAGCTTGAGTGTTCTCCATACACATATTTCACTCCTCTTCCTTGCGTTTTTATACAAAAGTCCTTAAAAGAGTAGAAAAAAAAAATGGAAGGACAAGGTGGTTGTGCCAATTTTCTTCAAAGGTGTAAGCCTTATATTGCCATGATATCTCTGCAATTTGGCTATGCCGGGATGAATATCATCACTAAGGTTTCTCTTAACCGAGGAATGAGCCATTACGTTCTGGTCGTTTACAGGCATGCCTTTGCTACCGCAGTCATTGCTCCTTTTGCTATCGTTCTTGAGAGGTAGACATAATATATATATCAGCAAGTTTTGTCTAATTGGTTCGAATATGAATTCGTTTTAATTTTAATTTTAATTTTAATTTTAATTTTACAGGAAAGTGAGGCCAAAGATTACGTTTACCATTTTCGTGCAACTTTTTGTGCTGGGTTTACTTGGGTTAGTGTTTGTTTCCATAATACAGCATACTTTTGGTAATCGAGCTCATATAAAAAGTTCAAGTCCAACATAATTTTTCCTTTCTTCGTCTTATAGGCCTGTTATTGACCAAAACTTCTACTACGCTGGGTTGAAGTTCACATCCCCCACTTTCTCTTGCGCCATGAGTAATATGTTACCTGCAATGACATTTGTCATGGCAGTTCTCTGCAGGTATTATATATATAACTAAAATCATCGTCATAAACTTGACGTTGCTCTCTGTTTTTTTCATTATGTTGGAACCATTTATTGATGGGATTTTCTGGATAAAGGATGGAGCTGGTGGACTTCAAGAAAGTTAGATGCCAAGCAAAGGTGCTGGGAACTATAGTGACTGTGGCTGGAGCTATGTTGATGACACTATACAAAGGCCACGTCATTAATATGATTTGGTCTGAAGCCGTCCACGCTCAAACATCCTCTGCATCTGAAGCAACTGGTTCCACTGACAAAGACTGGCTTAAGGGTTCCATTCTCTTAATTTTGGCTACATTCGCTTGGGCTGCATTTTTCATTCTTCAGGTAACAAAAGATAACAAATAAACATTTTCAAATTGTAAATTTTTTGACTTTAAGTTGTACTAAATTAACATATATACGGTGACTTGTTATACAGGCAGTGACAATGAGGAAATACACGGCGCAGCTCTCACTGACAGCCATTGTGTGCTTTTTGGGAACATTACAGTCCATTGCTGTTACCTTTGTCATGGAACACAAACCCTCTGCTTGGACAATTGGTTGGGACATGAATCTCCTCGCTGCTGCCTATGCTGTAAGTCTCTCTCTTTCTGATCCATCTCTCTCAATTTATTACTTGACTAAGTAACTAATGAAGACATAATTCTATTTTGATGTACAGGGTATTGTATCATCAAGCATTGCATACTACGTTCAAGGGCTGGTGATGCAGAAAAGAGGGCCTGTCTTTGTGACGGCTTTCAGCCCTCTTATGATGATCATTGTGGCAATCATGGGCTCATTTATTTTGGCTGAAAAAATCTATGTTGGAGGGTAATTACTGTTTCTCATGTCAATATATATATAACTCAACATCTTCTTTTTAGTTAGCTCTAACTTATTTTTTCAATATTATTTTGGTGGTTTTCAGTGTTCTTGGAGCTGTTCTGATTGTCATGGGACTTTACGCTGTTTTGTGGGGTAAATACAAGGAATACAAAGAAAAGGAAGCCGAGACAATTCCTGAACCCATCAAGGGAAGTGGAGAAACAAATGACCACAGTCCGACTAATATGATTACTGACTTTGAAGCCAATGATGTCGAAATGCAAAAGAACGCTATTGAAATTAAGGCCTAATTAACAATGATAATCACTAATTAGTTAATTAAAAGAAAGGAGAGAAAGAAAGAGGATCAATAATGATAGTGTGATTAATTACAAGGTGGCCATCGAGGGGAGAAAATGAGACTTTTTTTCTTAATTTTCCTTTTTTTTTTTTGGCCCCTTTGAGTTTAATCATGCAATCTTGTATTATCTTCCATGTAAGCTAATTTTGTAATTTATATAAAAGGAAATGAGAAAATGCAGAATCCTTTTTTTGGTTTCTATTTGTTCTTGATCTTCTATGTGATTTTGATGTAGGTGTCTTGTTTGTTTTGTCCCACTGAATAATTTGATAAATATTTTTAGAAAATGAAAAGTTGCTGACGTCTGATGCAGATTCCACTAAGATTGCTAGTGGCTAATCTTGTTTTTTTGTTTTTAATTAATTTTTACTAATTGGTCGAGTTTCATGTGGCTACTGGGCATCGAATTTATGTACACGTACGCTAATTGATGTGCATAATGATGCTTTCGCTTTTATCAATTATGTATTAATTTGTCTTTCACCACATGAAAAATGATATAAACGTCAGCTAAAAAGATTCTCAGAATAACCTATAAATTGAAGGCTTTAATCATGATATGAAAGTTAATTAATTGTCACATTAAAATTTTCGCTTATGTTCTAGCTTTTACTAAAATATTCTTATCCATATCAATTCTCTGGGATATAAAACTTAGCCTAGCTATTAAATAAATATATAACGCTACAATATACTTGGCCCTTATGCATCATGGTATAAATATAAGGTTCAAAATTAGGAAAACGGATTAAGACCTAATGTTATTGTCAAAATGGAATTATTAAAGAAGTTGGTAACAATAAAGCATTAAGAGAGAAAATATATAGTAATTTTGTGGTTTATATGATAAAGCATAATTGTTATCTTTTCAGAAAAACGACAAATGTGGAGATATGCTAGTAACAGTGATAGTTTTTGATAGATTATAGACTTTATATATACAGTCATATATAACAAGTTCTTCATAACAATTATTACCCTGATACAAAAATAAATATGTGTAGTATGGCTGCAGCCTCAACCAGAGTCAGCAGGTACTCTTGTTGCGTATGCATATCACTATTTACTTTGAATTTAGAAATAATTATGCTCCAGCAGCTCAGCACTATCCATGACACAAAGAGTGCATTGTATTTGTATGGATATCTGTTGTCTCGAAAGTACTTTCCAGGAAACCAAACAAAAGGTTGATTAATTTCACTCAATGTCTTTGTTTATTAGTAATTTCACTATTGCTTAGGCAGCTAAAGACTTAAGAAATTATTCTATGGAATTTCATTTTTAAGTAGCGATTAGTCTCTAGTCCTGTCACTCTCTTCCAGGATAGGCCAGCTGATTGGAATTTAATGAACATAGCATCAATGGTTGTTCTGCACTCAGGGGGAAAACAATCCTACAACCACAAGCAAAAGCTAATTAAATCCGATTCCTACAACATAACTAAGTGGCCAAGTTGTCATGTTAATATATAGTTCAGTAGTTAGGGATAATACCACCAGCTCCTCATCCAACTTTAGTATTGTCACAATCGTCAGATTACATGCCGCGGTTGATTCCCATATTCTAGGTTTTTGACTTCTGGGGTTTGCTAAAGATCTATTTATATATCAGAATATGTAACAACTCCATTTTGCAGTAGCTTAGAATCTTATGCTAAAGAATGGTATAGTAGAAATGTAATTAATCGTACTTCTGGAGGCAGGCATCAACAAAAAATATTAGGTAGAGAATGAGATACCTCCCTCTCCCCCTAAATAAAGTCTCCATCTAAAAGCATCATAACATTTGAGTTGAGTCTTTAAGTATGTAGTCTAATCACACGATGTGATATTTTGCAGATATCCTCTTTTTTTTTTTTTTTTTTTTTTTTTTTTTTTTTTTTTTTTTCTTTTTTTTTTTATATCTATATTGGTTTTTTTCTTTCCATGTTAGTTATTACTTGTAATTTGGTTTTGGTTGTTGGAAAAACTATTTGTTATATTCATTTGGTTAGTGGTTAATTGAAGAGAAGTTGCATAAAGGTCAACAATATTCTATAATACGAATGCGGAATGCTAAACAAGATCTTATATTACGAATTTTAACGCAGAAGATAAAGCCAGATTCTGAGTCTCCTGTACGTCTTTCATTTGCTCAACAACGAAGTAGATTAATTATAATATACGCCAAGCAAAGCATGGTGAATTTTATACCACATAAATTGCTTTTGTTCATTGTCAAAGTGTCTATAAAAGATCTTATAAATGAAGTGGGCGTTAAAGCCATTTATAACTAATTCATTGAGCCAAATCATTAAAATTTATTAGTAGACCCCATTTCAAGCAGATAAAAACCAGAAGTTTGACATAACATGTAACCCTTCTTCATGTGGTTCAAGATCGAGGAGCAATAGTGGGGAACATTAATTAGCATAGAGTGGAAGTCATATTCAACAAAATAATTAATTGATGAAGCATACATGACATATATATTACTTTGAACTCCCAAAAACACAACTATTTGGATTGGATTAATTAAGGAGCTGAAGTTTGCAATCCACAAATGAATTGAAAAATCTTTGTAATTTGTTTGATAAAGAAGATGAAATTGGCCAACCAGATTGCCACTGAATATAATTTTGTTTGAAAACCCTATATGCTTTCACTGGTAACAAGACCCAAATTTCAATTTTGTTAATGACTAAAGCATAATAAGACTTAAAGAGAGAGCCACTCGAAACATGGTTATATTGCATGGAAACCACTAGCATTTGAAAATAATTATATGTATATGCAACATCGATTCTCCACATATATAACTCTTTTCCAAATCCATATCTACCACTTTGTTTTATTACTAATCACTCTTTAACATCCTTTATCTTATTGCCTGCTGACAACCCATAATCGCAATTAGTGCCACTTCCCACTAGTTAACCTTTTATGCAATAATTATTAATTATAATCTAATGACTAATGGGATCTTTAATCAACTTTGAGAACTAAACAACCCCCCCAACCCCCCAACACCTTTCTTTCGGCCAGCGCCCTTTGGGAACTTTGATTCAGGTTAAACCATTCCAGCCCATTTAGAAATACTAATTTATATATAGCTAATGCACATATAATAATTTTATGAGGATCATATTTACAACTTATGCTTAGAAATATCTTAAGACTATATAATATAAGTATGAATGTGTATATTATATCAACATAAAACTTTTTAAGTTAGTGAGAGTTTTTGTGGTTGTTTGCATCACCATTGTATATTATATTTAACTGTTGCCAAAATTTTCATGATCGTCTGTTTATAAGTGATCAATCATTATAATGAATTTTATACATTGCGTCATGACGTCTGGTTGGAAATAAGAAATGTAGAGAATAAAAAATGTTGTTCTCTGGTTTTTACAATACACTAGTGGACTGCACTGTTCTTCTTTTATATAATTCTTTTATTTTATTTTTACTTTTTCGATAATACATTAAGATAATTGTACTCTTTAATCCATGAATGAAAGTTAAGGTTTATTAAAATGTTTCACCTTTTGGGTAATTATTTGATAGAAAATAAGAACAATTAAAATAATTATACCTCTCCTACTGTGGATTTTCGTGAGGGTGAAACTTTTTGCACAAATGAACTACTCTCAGCACTTATTTTTCAAGTACACACTAGAAAAAAAAAAAAAAAGTTATGTAAATTTCTGTTTCATATACTTTCACAATTATAATAAAAAAATTAATATATCAATGCTTAATTGAATAATAAATATAAGTGAAACTAAAAATTAGATTTCACTATATCACAAGTTCTACCAAAAATAAAAAATCATGATTTTAAGGTGAGAGTATCGATGATACAACAAAATACCAAATCAACAGTATAAAGCTATAAGCCAATACATATTTTTCACATAGATGTTTTAGTTAATAATCACCAATCATATGAATTGGCGACATAAATTTATTAACTTTGTGGTATGATTGACTCAATACTCAAAAGATGTAATTGGATTCTTTCTTTTCAAGTGTACATGATATTAAAGCAATTACTTTGGTGTATATAGGCCTTTACTTTTTACATTTACACGAGGGCTTTTTGGGTTGCACTGTTGCAGTCCAAGTACGTCGCTTTATTTGGGAAAAAATTTAATTTTTAAACTTTGTTATTTTTTTAAATAAAAAAGTGTATATGAATGAAATATTAACCATTGTTTTAAAACTCGGATCAAAATGCAGAAAATGGCAACTTTCGACTGATGTTTGGTGGGCAAACATGAGGGGGTTCGGAAGAGTGGATCACGGTGAGTCGAGAGGTTGTGTTTGATTAAGTTTTAGTCATCGGAATTTGGCTAAGAAATAGCAAAACCCTAGCTTCTGATTGCCGGCGGTTGGTGGGTGGAATGGCTTGGGAACATTGGGGGTTTTGTAAGGGAGTAGCCGTTTAGTCTATGGGTGGTGGTGGTGGTTGGAGTTATCTTGCTCAAAACGGTTAGAATCTAGCAAAGGACAATCGAAAAAATACGTTTTCTGTTGCCAGCAATCAACGAGTGATGAGAGAGGATAAAGGGTATGGTTTTGAAGAGGAGAGGGTGGGGATTCCAATAGTGGTGACGAGGGTCATTTTGGGTGAGAAAACAGCCAAAAAAAGGGGAAAGAAGGCCGACGTCGACACGTGCTAATGTGCATCGAAACAGTCACCATGCTAACGTGCGGCGATACAAAAATTTTGAAATTTGTTTATATGACACGTCACCAGTTTGACCCATTGGTCAACCCGAGACCCGGTTCTTTGCTGAGTTTAGCCCTAGGTTGGTTTTTAAAGCATTGATATTAACTAAATAAATTTTACACTTATTTTTCTTTATCTTTAGAATTAAGAATATGAAATTTTGTTAATAATTTTATTTCATGTCATTCAGTTTTTTTTAATATTAGGATAAAATTTTAATTTATTTTAGAGCAAATGACATATTCCTACTCAAGGTTTAGCAAAATCCCTAGTTGATACCCCTGGTTGCATTTATTCTAGATTCCCACGCTTAAAGGAATGTCGTTTCTTTTATTTTAACAGATTCCCAACTTTTCACTATAGTGCGGTGCACATTGGCATGCTAAAGTGCGCCACACGCTTTCTTTGGGTGAAGAAAGGTTCTCGTTAACAAAAAGTGGCTCACATTAGCAGCGTACAAGCCAACAATTTTTGACTTTTTTCAACC